GAAATGTTGAGATTTAGATGGTGGGGAGGGAATTGAGAATAAAATTTAGTTCGAGTCTTTAATTTTCTAAAAAAAAAGGTCATGTGGTAAATTGATAATTAGGTACAAGTTTCAGGGGGGCATTTTGGCAGTTTAACCGAATAGTTATGCATATAATTGTTATAAATATAAATATCAAATTATATACATGTGAAATTCTACTTCTTTGTCCAGACAAAAAATTAAAAAAATTCTACTTCTTTGAAAAACAGCTTGTAGAAACATTATAAATATCAAATGATGTCTGATATAATCTCAAAATTGTATGTAGCATGATGGGTAAGGTGGTGGAAAGGAATGAAAGTGGCAGATGTTCAAAATCCCTTGTGTGCTCTTTAGTCTTGATTTCCTTACATTTTTTAGCGGATTGGCAAGTATTTCACGGATTGACTTGACTTGTTTATTAAACAGGTCATAACAAGTTGACCAGAATTTTTATCATGTGGCTTTGTTCCGTGTTTTTTCCGTGCGAGTTTCGAATCATGTAACAGCTCGTATCAGAAATTACCACCCTTCTGTGTCACATGCACACTACATTAATTTTTTTATTTATTTTTAAAAACGTGTAATAGAATTAAATTGTACAACTTGAGCAAAAAAATAGCAAAAAAAATAAAAAACCACTGGAACGATCACAGTTTATCAGTTACAAGTTGAACGTGTTATCCCTTCAGTTTATCAGTTCCTAGTTGAACATCGTCCATGTAGTTCACAAAGCTCATTTGATGCATCAAATGTAACATAATACAGTACCAACCAAATATATTACTATCAACTTCTTGCCGGAAGACAAAACATAAACATAGCTGATATGAACTTCATCTTCTAGGTCGGGTCATTCGTGGGCGGCCTGAAAGAGAACAAACAGAATAGTTACAACATCCAACACCAAAATTGGACCAAAGGGCGTTCAACTAAGAGCAATGCCAGAGTTCAGCTAAGAGCAATGTCAGAGATCAACATTAAACGAATTGGGCAAAAGAAGCACTAACATTGATATTTACTTCATTTTTTACAGCAAATCAAATGACTTTACGGGAAATCAGCAGTAATTTGAAATACCCACATGATCAAATAATACCTATTGTGTATTTAAAAATTCAGACACACCTCCAAACAAACGAGTAGGACATTAGCAAGGAAACAGACAATTTCTATTAAAATGACCATATCTTTTAAATCCTGATCAAGTGAAATAACATGGAACTAACTCGAGGGTACATACAGAAGAAACAAGTGGCATTCTTGCTTCCATTTGACTTCACAATATATGGGGACAATAGGGACAAATCTTCATACAGTTTGGACACAGCACAGTGCTAAAGACAACAAAGAGTAAACACAACGCATAAAATTTCTCTAGGGAGATGTAGCACAATGTATTTGGGATATCACAAACAATGTGCAGTAACATCACATGCTGATGCAAACTTTGGTATTTGTTAAACCAAATCAGAAACTGAAAGTTTTCCATTTTTAATTACACGAGGAAGCAAACAGTGGAAAATGATAAAAATTACACCTACCACCCCTCTCACTGATTCCACAAACTAGGAGCGTGAGTTATCCATGGACCCATAGCTATTAGTACATAATAGCTATGATGGTTGTTAAATTATAAAATAAAAAAAATCTGAAGCCAGAATTTTAGGTCCCTGTACACACATAAACAGAGTACCATAACCACAATACTTTGAAACTCGAAAGGCTTTTCTTATCACAAGAGGTCATTGAACAAAAAAAACACA